AGCGGTTTTTAAGGAAAGTTACTACGGCCTATGGGATACCCGATGATGTGCTTTGATTTGGAATTCGGTCAATCCATCTACTCGAAAACTGCTGTGCAAGTGTATTTTCGACATAGCCCACAAATGACCTTAGGTCATCGCATGACCTTGAGAGGTCAAATGCGTGTTGGGAAAGTAAGATTAGATGCTGGCGAGTCGATTGGTGCCATTTTTAGCGCTCTAGCTCTACTGGGTGGGCCACAATCTGCTGTGCAAATTTGGGCCACGTGACCTTTGCTGACCTCTGTAGGTCAAACGGCTGGGAGTGCCACCGAATGACTTGGACTGTGGATTGGGCATGTCATGGCCTACATTGTGTGCGAGTTTCAGCTTGATCAGAGGTGTCCCGAATCTGGGCTGAATCCGGGCTGCGACGTATTGAGTGTCGTTTATTTGCACATTTTGACCTGCCAAGGTCAAACGGGGTCACATATCGAAAAGCGGTTTTTAAGGAAAGTTACTACGGCCTACGGGCTACCCGATGATGTGCTTTGATTTGGAATTCGGTCAATCCATCTACTCGAAAACTGCTGTGCAAGTGTATTTTCGACATAGCCCACAAATGACCTTAGGTCATCGCATGACCTTGAGAGGTCAAATGCGTGTTGGGAAAGTAAGATTAGATGCTGGCGAGTCGATTGGTGCCATTTTTAGCGCCTCTAGCTCTACTGGGTGGGCCACAATCTGCTGTGCAAATTTGGGCCACGTGACCTTTGCTGACCTCTGTAGGTCAAACGGCTGGGAGTGCCACCGAATGACTTGGACTGTGAATTGGGCATGTCATGGCCTACATTGTGTGCGAGTTTCAGCTTGATCGGAGGTGTCCCGAATCTGGACTGAATCCGGGCTGCGACGTATTGAGTGTCGTTTATTTGCACATTTTGACCTGCCAAGGTCAAACGGGGTCACATATCGAAAAGCAGTTTTTAAGGAAAGTTACTACGGCCTATGGGCTACCCGATGATGTGCTTTGATTTGGAATTCGGTCAATCCATCTACTCGAAAACTGCTGTGCAAGTGTATTTTCGACATAGCCCACAAATGACCTTAGGTCATCGCATGACCTTGAGAGGTCAAATGAGTGTTGGGAAAGTAAGATTAGATGCTGGCGAGTCGATTGGTGCCATTTTTAGCGCTCTAGCTCTACTGGGTGGGCCACAATCTGCTGTGCAAATTTGGGCCACGTGACCTTTGCTGACCTCTGTAGGTCAAACGGCTGGGAGTGCCACCGAATGTCTTAGACTGTGAATTGGGCATGTCATGGCCTACATTGTGTGCGAGTTTCAGCTTGATCGGAGGTGTCCCGAATCTGGGCTGAATCCGGGCTGCGACGTATTGAGTGTCGTTTATTTGCACATTTTGACCTGCCAAGGTCAAACGGGGTCACATATCGAAAAGCGGTTTTTAAGGAAAGTTACTACGGCCTATGGGCTACCCGATGATGTGCTTTGATTTGGAATTCGGTCAATCCATCTACTCGAAAACTGCTGTGCAAGTGTATTTTCGACATAGCCCACAAATGACTTTAGGTCATCGCATGACCTTGAGAGGTCAAATGAGTGTTGGGAAAGTAAGATTAGATGCTGGCGAGTCGATTGGTGCCATTTTTAGTGCTCTAGCTCTACTGGGTGGGCCACAATCTGCTGTGCAAATTTGGGCCACGTGACCTTTGCTGACCTCTGTAGGTCAAACGGCTGGGAGTGCCACCGAATGACTTGGACTGTGAATTGGGCATGTCATGGCCTACATTGTGTGCGAGTTTCAGCTTGATCGGAGGTGTCCCGAATCTGGGCTGAATCCGGGCTGAATCTGGGCTGAATATGGGCTGTCTTGACGGACATCTGAACATCGGTCGGTATTTGAGAAACTGACTGCTCAATTAGACCGTCATCTTATCGGCGCCATCAGCCACGGGCATTGGGCCGTTGGTTTTCTGACAATAGCGCGCCTGGAGGCGGCGAGGGCCGCTATGAGCCGACGGCATGCGACAGACCTGACATCGGAGACGTGGGAGAGCCAGAGAGTCAGTGGGTGTCGGACATGTGTCGGAGAGCAAATGACACGTCGTCCTCCTCTCCCGCGAGCGAAGACTTCGGGAGGTCGCTTATCGGTTAAGTTTATTCAAACTTCAGTAATTTTATGGGTTGGTTCTGACTGCTCAAATTCAATGGATTAAATTTAATTTTTATTAACTTCAACCAAAATGAAGGGAATTATCCAGAATAAATTAAAAGCACATAATTCATAGTCATACCTGACTTTATATTCATCGCGTTATATAAGAAAGGTACATACCTATCTGCTGGTATGGCGCGTCTATACCTCACCGGGGTAATGCATATTCTGGGCGGAGTAGCGGTCCGACCCAGCCAACAAAACCACACGGCGCCGACACCTCGTATTGCTCCGGCCTCAATCACCTTTCATTCATCAACATCGCAGATCGAACACACCATTCACACGTAAATATCCCTTTGTGTCGTCCTTTCAGTCAAAGGTCATCCGTAGGTCACTGTCGTTTATTGCGAATTCACTTTCATCAGCATTCCAAACCGACGTGACATTTAAAGGTGCTTATAATCAGCGCGGCGAAATGACTTGTTTTGCGATGCTTTTGCGAAGCTAGTACGGGAGCCGTGCTGTCGAGCCTTGGCCGACTGCATTGTAAGTGCTCAGGTTGCACCGTCGGCAACAGAACAATGCAACCCCAGCTCAACCGGTGGTCTTTGTTTTCCACGCCCTGTTGGAGGGGTTTACACCCACACAACTCGGCTCTGGGTTCCGCAGGAGCCATGCCAACAATATATTAAATTAAAACTTTATACGGTGCCTGTTTGTATCCAAGAAATCGCATTATGACAAAGGCAATGGCATAAGACTCGCTCGTTCAGCCATGGTAGGCAGAGAGTAAAAATTGATGTTCAACAATTGTTATTTTCGCTCATATTAAGCAAATTATAGAGGAGCCAGGGCGCACCGGAGCCGACCCATGAGGCAGACAGCTGTAAAGGTGGGGTAGCGTGACCTGACCTTTTGAAGTTCACCGACCGTCATGCAACGCGCACAAACGGCCCTCGTCTTATGCTTATTGCATATGCGACACTAGAACTAAGATGAATAGTGAATACGCATGTTTGACACTTGACAGGCATCCCACGAGTGTCGGAGACCGGAAGCGTCTGTGTCATGTGACATTCTTCTCACGCTATATTTGTTCGTGCCCGAAGTAGACACCACTTGTTACACTATGCAATGCCGCAATGGCAGCCGACTGCTATAGGTCTGAACCTGCACATTGTTCTGCAAGTATTGAATGATGCGGCTAGCAGTCATAGATGCAAGCTGCTTGTTCAGCTCCTTTAGCTGTTGGTGATCTGACTCCGATAGGTATTTTATGTGACGATTTATTTTAATTTAAAAAAGAAATGGAAAGAGGAAGAGATTTCCAACGTATTTGTGCGGGATGAAGCACGAGTGAAGCCGTTTTTTAATTAAAGTTTTAAACTAAAGAGTTAAAGATTAGTTCATTAGAGTTTGAATACGACTAGCATAATTGAAAACGGCTTCCTGCCGATGGGACCAGCGCGGGACCAGCAGACCGGTTTCACTCCACCCCGCTCCACACCCCCGTCATCGGTCATGGTCGATTTTCAGCCCATCGAATCACTGATTCGTGCGGGAGCAGCGCGATGAACCGATTCGTAATCGATCGGTTACCGCTGCGATATCGATCAGATGTTCGGTCGACTGTTTCGTGTGAAGCCGGAATGCTATTCGGGTGGGACGAGCATTGCTGTTAGGCTGCCTACGGTGCACATTTTGGACAATATTTTTCGATAGAAAAAAGAAGCCTAAAAATGTGCTCAGAATAGATCATCCAGCCGATGACTTTCAGTGTGAAACACCTGTAAGGGCGTAAGTGACACAACAGATACCCCACCGTGTGCTTGTCTCGGTAAGGAGCCCATGTAACTGACAAGAAGCCCATGAATGACAAGGACATGAAGTCGTTTAATTTTTTAGCGCGGCGCTCCCTTGCCGTCCATAGGAATATCGCTTTCACGCTGAATTGAGAGGCAACCAAAGTATTGCAAATTAACACGACCCGTTGTTTCCCATAACATATGGATTCAAATGGACATTGGTGTTGCTCATGCCTCATGGGTCCAAAACATTCCTTTTCATTTGTCATGGATATTTTACACGTTTACCTTTCAAGGTAAACGGTGTGCAAAGTCTCAACGGTTTAGCATGCAAAAATCGGTCCGCTACATTCGCACCGACATCTTTGGCTCCGCGGTATAGCTCCTTGGTCGGGTCTGAATAAGAATTTAACTCAGAATGATGTTTAAATACGACACCAATTATCCGCAGGCATAATCATTTGACTGCTGCACTGCTCCGATTATAATTGAAGCGTATTGACGGGATGGAAGTATGTCAACGTAAATACATATATAAATATCGTCGGCGTGAATTCCAAAATAAATAGATCGTCATGCCTAAATCAGATCGAAATCTTCGACGCTTGACGTGCCCTGAGATTAACATTGATTATTATCGTTACAACTTAGGTAGGTAAGATACAACTCATAAGTCATAAATAAAGCCGTCATAAAAAGGGGGAAATCTGAAGGGATTGACAGTGACCGCCACTAGGTCAGATAAAAGGAGGGGGACAAGACACAGAAAATACAGTTACTAAATGTTATCACGTTCAGACTTCAGACCTCACCGACCCGTTCTCCACAGCGGAATGGGTGACCCGACTAACAAGTTGGAAACCGGTTGGGCGGCGCAGTGATCCGCTAAGACGACCCATCCAACACACAGGCCAGAGCGGACAGCTGGACAGCCGCACTACAGAAGCGTGAAACAAAAACTGAAGGAGATAATTGACTCGGTAGGGGCACATAACTAAGGCCGACTCTTTTCTGATGAGCTACGGTGTCTGGACTTACCTGTTGGTTGTCATGGCGACGGCCGGCGCGTGGCCCCGGTCAGCAGACGCGGGCCGCTGTGACCGCTCGGCGCGGCCGTCCGCGGCTCGCTACTGCCGTCTGCCAGTCGTCACTGGCGCTCGGTAAACCTGTGCAGCGCCGTCAGAGAATACCGGCGCCATAAAATCGATACGGTAGCGGTGTAGATAGGTGCTCGGGCGAGGCCGCGGCCGCCGGCAGACGTCAGCGGGTTCCCGGGACGCCCACGCCGCGGCCGGTGGGCCACAGATGTGGGGCCGGGGTTCGGCACGATCCCGGGGTAACGTCCGGTGGTTCCAGCCGGCGGCGTGGCGGCGCCGTGATCCCGTGGCCTTGGCTGGGCTGCCGGCGGCTGGCACGGCGACGACTGCCCTCCCGGCACGTCTACCCAGGGTAATATACGTCTGCCCTCCGCCGGCCGGGGTGAGCCGGGGTCGGCCGTGCGTCATTATACCTGTATACCGCTGACCACGCGGCGAGTCATCAGCTCTTGGAAGTCGGTCGGTGCTCCTGCTATCATGCAGTCACCATAAAACCAGTCGGATGGACCATGTCAGCCCGCGCTGTGGAGGGGGGGGGGGGAGGGGAGGGAGGAGGTGACTCCCTGTTTTTAGGTGGGGGGAAGGGAGGGAGGTTCCTCTTTTTTCGAAAATGCCGCTGTCTTGGTACATACACGTCATGTGATGCATCTTTTCGCATATACATATGTTGTAAGAATTCCACTCCTGGCTCATCCAAGGTTAGTTCACCGGGTCATGTCAGGTGCAGGTCCCACTCACCTCAAGAAAAAGTACCTAAATTCTCGTCCTAGCTACACCCACTGAAAACATGTTCTAAGACTATCAGCGATTGGCTGGGTTCGGTGATATTCAGTTATAATGGTATACCTACCTACACGGGCGTAGGAACGTCATGAAAAGTGGGTGGGCCACCCTGTCAAGGGGCCTCCTTTTCCAGGGGGCCTCCTATTTTCAGGGGCCTCCAACTTTTGCCTCGTCCTGCTGGCTGCTTTCAAGTATGACCTCCAAATCTAGCTTCTGAGATCGGGCAGATGTACCCAGGGGCCGCTTATGCGAACAGTGCGGAAAGTCCGCACCATTTTTAAAACTTATTCCCCTCCGATTTTTTAAAGAATCTATTTGTCGCAAACGGCGCATGACCCCTGAAAACCCTTACACAAATGTCTTCCTCGTTTCCCAGGTGCCCCCATTAGCTTCATAGGCGCCCTCTTAGGCATATAAGCGCCCTATGTATAGTCATCAGAGACATCCCTATATGTCCCACAGTCGCCCCGTTGTCGCATACAATGTGCGCTTATCATAGGCGTCTCTCTTTTATGGACACTTGAAGGCGCCTGGCGCCTCTCTTTGCCATGCCGGCGCCCCTGTTTCTTATGAATGCACCCCCATGGCATTGATCAATTGCATTGCAGACCTCTATTGCATGTGGACGCCCATATATGTAGGCCTCAGAGGCGCCCCTCGTTCGCATTGAGGCGCCCCTATGGGCTAGGCGCCCCTCTATTGCACGTAGGTGCCCTACTGTCTCAGAACCGCTCCCCTTTGGCATGCAGACGCCCATCTTTCGTACGGAGGAGCCGCTGTGGTTCTTGAGACGGCATGGTGCTCCCAGACGCAGATGGGGCTCTCGGAGTCGACAGTTTGGGACCTTCAGTCGCTGATGGGTGCCCGCCAGATGTGGACCCTCGGAGACGCCGGTATGGGGCCCTTAGAGAAGCCGGTATGTGGCCCTTCCTTAGAGACACCGGTATGGAACCCTCAGATACTTCAGTGTGAAGCCCTTACAATTGCTGGTGTGGAGCTATATGAATGCGCTGGCTTAAATCCCTCAGAGGCCGGTGCATGGACATTAGAGCTCAGTGAGAGCTTGTGTGGTGCCTTCAGTGGCCTTGTGGAGCCGTTAGACATCAACATGGTGGTCTCATGAGCCGGTGAGTCCTCAGAGTCACCGGTGTGGGGCCTTCAGAGCTCCGAGATACTGGTGTGGGGCCCTCAGAGGTGTCGGTGTGGGTCCTTCAGATGTACCTATAGAGCCTTGAGATGCACAGGTGTGGTGGCCCACAGAGGCGCCGGTGTGGGGCCCCCAGAGCCACCGATATAGGGCCCTAAGAGACACTAGTATGACCCTCAAAGGCGCCGCTGTGTGGCGCTCATAAACACTGGTGTGGAGCCATCACAGGCGGGTGGAGCCGTTAGAGGCCGGAAAGGGCCCTTAGATGCCTACAAGAAGCCTTCAGAAGCCGGCGTGGCACCCTTATGGGGATAAGCGTGTCTACTTAGGAGCCCTTGAGGTGCTCTCATGAGCTCTGTGGGGCCCTACCGAGCCGAAATATGGCCACGGCCAGTTGCCGCCGCATGGCTCTTCGGACTATCATTCTCAGGGGCCTCATCTGCCCAGTTTGAATAGAAGGGCCTCTCAGACAATCAGTATCATGGGCCTCCTCTGGCTAGTATAAATAGAAGGGCCTGTTAGACCATCAATCCTAGGGGCCTCCTCTGGTTAGTATAAATAGAAGAACCTCTCAGACCATTAATCTCAGGGGGCTCCTGTGAACAGTATAAATAAAAGGGCCTCTCAGACCATCAGTCTCGGGGGCCACCCCAGAAAAGTGTAAATGTGGATAGAGGGCCCCCTCAGATTCATTAGGAGTGGACCTTTCTGACTATCAGTCTCAGGGGCCTCTTGTGGCCAGTATAAATATAAGAGCCTCTTAGACCATCGGTCTCAGGGGCCTCTTCTGACTAGTGTGGATAGAGGGCCCTCCCAGACCACCAGTTTCAGGGGCCTCCAGTGGCCAGTTATATGAACAGAAGGGCCTCACAGCCATCAGCCTCGGGGGCCTCTTCTGACTGGTGTGAATATGAGGGCCTCTCATACCATCAGTCTCAGGGGCCTCCGCTGCCTAGTGTGAATATAAAGGGCTTCCCAGGCCATCAGTCTCAGGGGACTCTTCTGACTGGTGCCGGATTGAGGGACCTCCCAGACCGAAAGTTTTGGGGGTCTCCTGTGGCCAGTATGAATAGAAGGGCCTCTCAGTCCATCAGTCTCATGGGCCTCTTCTGCCTGGTGTGATTATAAGGGCCTCTCAGGTCATCAGCCTCAGGGGCCTCCTCTGACTACAGTGTAGATGGACAGGCCTCCCAGACCATCAGTCTCAGGGGCCTCTTCTGACAATTGAGGATAGAGGGTCTCCTCTGACTAGTGAGGGTAGGGGGCCTCGGCTAGACCGCCAGTGTCAGGGGCCTATTCTGACTAGTGTGGATGGAGGGGCCTCCCAGACCACCAGTCTCAGACCTCTGACTAGTGTGGAATGTGGATAGAGGGGCCTCCCAGACCGCCAGTGTCAGGGGCCTCCCCAGACCAGTGTGGATATTGGGGCCTCCTCAGATCCACTAGGGCTTCTCAGGCCATCAGTCTCAGGGGCTTCGACTGACAAGTATGAACAGAGGGCCTCCTTGGATCCGTCACGGCCCCTTGGAGTCCGTGCGTGGGGATTCGTGGAACTTATTTTTACCGAGTTTGTTTATTCTGGAAGATGACGACGTCCTCTCAAATCGAGACGAGGGGCCTCGAGTAAAAAGTGGGTGGGCCAAAACACATGGTTGGCCCCCCCACCTCGAAAAGTGGGTGGGCACTTGCCCACCTGGCCCCCCCCCCCCTGTTCCTACGCCTATGCCTACCTATTTAAATCGGTGCAATTTTGCGATCTCTTCTAGGTCCAATAGGAGAAAATTAATCTGCGCCTCTCTAGGACGGAATCTACTGCCTACTATTCACTCTATAACCTCGTTTGTCAGTCAGATATCAACCAAATATGCGGAATACATACATATTGCCTCCTTGAACCCTTTTATCCTTCTGGTTTTCGAATCTTGTATATCAGTGACGGTGACCAAAAGTCAGAGCAACCGAACGCCTTTTTTTACCATGTCGTAGCCCAATAAGTTCCCGAGTCAATAGTCTGTCTTTGTACCTATGTATGTGCGTTCCCCTGTCGGTAGATTACTGTATCGGCATCCCAATACACTAATACAGTGATTGGAGCGGCGCCTGTCTCCCGTCGCCCCGATATCTCGGCGGCGTCAGAGAGGTCGTAAAGCGCAGACAAGACTGCGCTGAAATCATGGCAGTTTTTATCGGCTTTTGCATATGTAATATCGGTTCGTGACATAATAAAGTTCTGCCCATACGAAGTGCACTGAACGCGCAATGTTGCCACTTGCGTTCTCATGCGACCAGCCCACCCCTTATTCTGCACTCATTATGCATGCTGAAAACCAATAACGACACACCGTTCAATAATTTAACAAACATATATACTTCGTACACCAACGGCCAACAGCAATTCAGTTGATCCTGTCGCAAATAATTCAAACAACACGAAGAGACCGACTGCAACTGGGGACCTCTCAATTGACTTCGAAACATTCGACAACAGACGGAGCACACAACTGATGTTTCGGTATGCTTGGGGCTCCCTCTGTCTCGATCCGCACAGTTGCCCCGACGATACCACTCAGTTAACCAATAACTATTAATAACAGTTAACCGATAACAACCAATAACAGTAAACCAATAACCAATAACTATTCGTGGACTCGGTCACCGTAGGCCACCTAAATATGCCAAAGAGCGATGATTCTTCGTGGATTCTTCGAGCCCTATTGATCGAGAATGGACATCAACGCACAAACAAGCGACGCTCTTTGTGAAGGGCGTACATACAATCGTACAATTAACCCTCGCCCATGTAGGGGGGGGTTGGTGCAACCCCCCCCTGAGGTTTTTCGGAAATAGTGCAAAAACGGCGGCGCGCAGCGCCGCCAAATTTTGGGTACCTTATGGGGCAAACCTTGCGCATCTTTTGACAAAAAAATTTGACCGGGTCATGTCAGGTCACGGAGTTATGACGTCACAAAGGGAACAGCCTCCGGCCGGATTTTCACAAACTGAGTGCCAACGCCCGAGGTTTCCTGCCGGTGGTACGGACATCGGTTGATGGATCGTGATGAAACTTCCCATGCATGTTGGGGCAAGTATTGGCTATCATATGGTATAAGAAACTTGACCGGGTCAGGTCAGGTCACGGAGCTATGACGTCACAAGAGGAACAGCGTCCGGTACTATTTTTAAAAAGCGCCCGAACCACTATTTTGCTAATTCTTGTCACCTCAATGGGAATATGCAGCAATATTAGCTTCTATAGGGAGCAAATGGACCTCCCAAATCCAAAAATACAATCAGATTTCAAAAATTTAAATTTTGATTTTTCGAAATTCTGCCGCCGACTGTGACCTTGCCGACTTCCGGCGCTCCCAACGCGCCATTTTTAAAGCTAGGGAAACGAAATACATACCAAACGATAGAGAATCGATCAAGGAACACGATAGTGAAGGTTTCAAGTCGATATCTCCCACCGTTTTGCCGCAATCGCCGCGGAAAGTTGAAAAAGTTTATTTTTCCGAAAATTTGACCTTTGACCGGTCAAAAGTAGGTCAAATGTTGACCTAGGACCAAAAAATATACCACCAATCGCGAGATCTCGGCGAGAGCAATCCGTTGGTCTTTTCCGCTAAGCTCTACGACGCTCCGTTTTCAAACGCCAAGGGGGGGGGTCGCACCAACCCCCCCCCCCCCCTGCATGGGCGAAGGTGGCAGATCGCCGTTTACGGGCGAGGGTTAATACCTAACCCTAATAGCTGGGTACCTTGGTAGCTTCGCAATTCGCAATGGTTAAAGAGTTATGTTTTTTCCTTCATTGGAAGTGGCATCTTTCAGGCCTTCAACGTCACTATTGAAGCGCTCGAGATACTTCCTTTGTCATCTTTAATGAATGAATGCGTCATTAAATCTACCACGTAACAAATCACTTCCTCTCCTTTATCTCTGATCTCTTCGCATATTTAACGCGTTAGCTTCATTGTTTAGATGTGTCTGTTTAGCAGGCATCGGTAGGATTGTGATTGCAGGATTGCAAAATCCTGATTGCATTCCTTTTTGGTGGATTGCACCTGGATTTGAAATCCATTCCAAAAAACAGGATTTGATTGCGGATTGGATTGCATCATGCTTCCAATTTTTGCAATCCAATCCGGATTGCAATCCTTTCCTGGGGCAATTAGTCATGTCTCATATTTTCCCGATCTTAATAGGCCTAGAATGATGTGCAGCCGCTAAGTTGTGCAATGTGCATCGAGGGAACTAACTAGAATACTGCCGGTTGCCATATACACAAATTATCCCAGTCTCAAGGCAAAGTTGGCGCTGCGCTGCTTGCATGACAACACGGGGCCGGGCGAGAGGCGAGAACTACGCCACGTTTAATGGCGGATCCAGAGAGGGAGAGACAGAGGGGGGGGGACATAGAGAAAAGTGAAGAAGGTGCCAAGTGACGTTATAGCATTACAGCGTTATACGTTATACGTTATAGCCAAGTGTGTCAAATACATTCATGATTTGACGAAATGTGTTTTGGTGTTTGATTAGTGCTTTGAAATGGTTTGTTGCGATTGAAAATTATGAGATCGGCTTCATCGGCTTAATGTACTTTGCTATCAAGGGCTTTACATCGAAACTTGAAATAATTTAAACGCTTTTAATTTAAACGCTCAAAATAATATACGCTGATGAACTACATAGGAAGGGCAAAATTACGTATTTGAAGGCGAGTTTTAAAAATATATCTAAAACACTGGTTGGGTAGAGGTTTAAATGTGGGGGTGTTTGAGGCAAAAATATTTCCCATAAAATACCTGTGCCTTAGATAGGAATTACTCGCAAGACTAGGTACTAGAAATGGGTGATTTGGGGATGGAGGTACGGCCCTATGCCCCCCTCCCTCCCCCAGATCCACTAATGCACATAATACTACAACAGGATTGCAAAAAAGGATTGCGGATTTGATCACAATCCAAGTGAAAAAAGGGGATTGCGGGTAGGAATGCAATCCACTTCCGCACTAGGAATGTGGATTGGGAATGCAATCCTTTCAAAAAGGATTTTACCGATGCCTGCTGTTTAGTAAGTACCCAAGATTTTTGTCGCTCTGGACCGGAAGAGAGTCCAGATCCAGACAGAGTGAGCTGATGCAGAAACGCAGCCGTTGGCGTAAAGGAGCCGACATCGCTTTTTGATCGCTGTCAGGGCGCAAAAAGTGGTGCACTGGCCGCGGATTGTGCTGGGCGCTGACCGCTCTGACCCCGGGCCGAATCCGCCCCAGCCGGGTCCAACTGACGAGCACCGTTTAGAGGGCGTCGATCCGCCGACGGCTCTGGCCCGTCCGTGTGAAGAGCGGAGCCCAAAGTCGAGCTGCGAGCTGAGGCGGCGAACATGGATCCCGTCGATGGAAATGCATAAATGCTGGTCGGCCGTATAACGCCCGGCAGATGGGCGCTGAAGGACGTGTCGGTGGCATACAGGAAGTTTTATCTGCTGCAGCGGCCCATCAGCCACCGGGAGAGCAGCATGCCGGCGTTCGAGATCGACACAAATGTCTCGGAGGACAAGATTACGCCACAGATCACCATGGAGCTGACCGAGCTGCTCGCTGAAATGCTGTCACTTGATGTCAAGGTGAGCTATCAGTTATTTGCCGTTAAAGTAACGAATACCATGCTGGCCCGTTGAAGCAACGAGGTAGGTAAGTACTTCAATCGCCGATTAATTGGAGCAATTGTCCGTGCCATTATCATGAACATAAATTGGCCTGTGTCCTTTGGATCTATTGGAGACATAACAAAGGTACAAACAACTGAAAACGAGAAGCCTTTACTGAAAAGCACTGCACAAATAAAACATGCTTGCGAAGTAGGGGAGTATGCGTAAATATCTTTCTATGCGTAAACGAGCGAAGCCACCGTCTATTCTCTTGTTCTCTTCTCGTGCCTACTCATCAAAAAGCAAGATTTTACGTTGAAACTAAGTATGACAATGTTAGTTCCGTCATGTGTTTTATGAAGAAAAATAGACGGCATGAGGGCATAATTGGCTCTCGCGGGATATCTCGCTGATAAGGGCGCTGAAGACCTCAGGAGTCCAGACAGCCCAAAGCCCAAGTCATCATCATTATCTGCAAATGCCTTCCAGGCTGTTAGTTAGGACTTGGCCTTCTCATGTGACTGATGCCGACGCCACACGATCTGACTGCAGACCATGCATTCGGCCTTGACTGCCTGCTTGCAGTGCATTCATACGCAAATGTCGCTGTGCCGTCAGTTCCTGTCTGTGATATTCCGGCCCAACCCGCGGATGGTGTGGGCCGGCACCGCGGAGCCCTGTGCCGTCTGTCGGCTCACCGCCATCAACAACATCGACGAGGAGCACAACCGCGGCTACACCGAGAAAATCTTCAAATTCATGCACGACAAGTTCGGCGTGCCCGGCGACAGGTTAGTGAGACTGAGATGGCGAACGCTGGTGTCGTTTATACGATTCCCTAAGTCTATCTTCATTATTGCTATTTAGGAAGTAAAATGCTTAGGTATATGTGTCCTAACATCTGGGGATGTAAACATTATCAGAGATAAATATTAGGTGCCAAATTTTAAATATAATTCATTTTTCATGCCGAAATCTGCTGACATTACCTGGCGCCATGATTATGAGAGCTCAAGTGACTTCATGACATCAGTGACAGTGAAGCAGTCAAAATTAAAGACGGAGCCAATTCGAATTCTGGGGTTTCGTTTTCGCCTTGCCCTGAAATGATAAAAAGTAGACGGACAGAACCGCTCTCTCCTTCATTGCGTACTTAACTATGTCTGGATAGAAAGTCATTGCAGTGACAGCGTGATCACCTCCTAAGAAATATACACCACTTAAATGCTTATTTAAATTCGTCATCATGAGCTGGACCTGTATGTCATGTTCCCAGGATGTACTCGATTTTCGTCACCCCCGGAGCCTCAAACGTCGGCTACACCGGTCGGCTGTTCTCCGATATGTAAGCGCAAGCTCGGTGAACACATGAACCGCCTTCGCCCCATCCCGCTCGCTCCGAAGACGGTAGGAGACACGAGTATTGCGGAGTGACATCTACGTGGTCATGAGACGAATGCACGGAGCGGCTGAGCAGACGGTTCGCTCTATGCTTTTCTTGCACTGTTAGATATTTCGTACTAGTTTGCCCGTGTTCCCGTTACTACACGTAGGTAAAGTTATGTTTGACTTTGTGATGCAGCGTTTTACGTTATCCCTATTGTCATATGCACTGTTACACAACTCTAATAAAGTGAGTTATTTGCTACATTTGATCGAGTCTTTTAAGGACCCGGACAATTACCTAAATCTGCGGTAAAAAGTAGGTCAAAGTGAAAAGGTTCACTGAATCGCGTTTCACATCCAGTGTCTTCCATTTAAACGGTTACTTTTCACGTCAACTCTGAAGCCGGGGCTGACTGCGGCAGTTGGGAAGTAAGTTGAACCGATTTCAGCCCCAAGGCAACGGTCTCAGAAATTCTGATTTTCCAGATGCCGCTCATTGAGCCGATCAGGGCCTCGTGAGAGCTACAGCCATGTCCGCCGTAGGGGAGGGGGAGCGTCGCTGGCCGTCAGTTGATTGGTCAGCCGAAGAGTAAGGCGCCCGAGGCGAGCAGAGCCACCGCCGCAGGCCGACAGCTGATTGGTCAACCGAAGAGACAGCTGCTCGAGGCGATCATATAGTTCCCGCCAGTCGCCAGCCGATTGGTTAGCCAGACAGACGGGGTGATCAGGTTACCCGGGCGCCGGCATCTCGGAGCCTGATGCCGGGAGCGGGGCGCTGGCCGCGCCGCAAAACAGACGGTGATTGACCTATCCCAGTGCTAATTCAGATTCAGATTTATTTAAATGAAGTCCACTATTGCCGATAGCAGTCGCTTTTCAATCATTTCCGTCCTGACGAGAAAACAACAAAAGGAAAATGGAAACAGACATTCACACACAATGCATTTAAACTCATGCATTTTGCATACATTCCCCCACTCCGCTGTAAAAGTTCATGCCACTGTATGCCTACCGTTCAGAGCGATTTAGTGAACAGCTCAGCCAAAGTGAACTGCCGGACAATGGTGCGTCGTTCACAAGCTATACACCTTGGAAACAACAAACTCCTTATCCGCTTGGATGCAGAGGAGCGTATGGGAGCCGTTTAATTTAGCAATCGTTCAACGAAATCATCGGATAAAATGTTCAACAATAACTGATTAATTAATAAGTTATAACGTAACGCTTAAAACGTTAATCCGTTTTCCGTTTTCGTCGTCTTTTCACACTGTTTTGCTGTGTCTGTTGATGACTCGCTATATTTTAGCCAGTCTTACTACAAGAGAAACGGCAAATTGACAAACAATTATTGTTTATTCATTTCTTGCACCGTCCATGAACGTTGTTGGTCGACTCTAAACAGTAACAAACAACAAAGCAACGCACAATATGTTGTAGAAAAGAGCTAACAAAATAATGATGTAAATCCTCGCATTCTGAGTAGTTGCGACTTACAGTAGTTCTTAACTCCGTTCCTTACACAAGACATCTAGACATTTTTACATCCGGTCCCTGTACATCGATCTTTGGCATTTGTTCGATCAGTTAAGTATATGTACTCCACAACCAATACGGTGTTAAGCTGAACCACTGGCTGCGTGTGCTAGCCAGAGAAGCGTTCTCCATATCGATTGTAAGTTCCCATTGCCACAACGTAAGCAAACTGGCTTATAACGCTTACCGTACCGTTTACCGTTTGCCATTACCGTAACGTTTACACGTGGGCAAACCTGATATCGTTTATAGGCTTATTGTCACATCGTTTGCACGTGTGACCCATCGTAAGCGCACACTGCAGGCCAAATTCACTGTGAAAGTGATCAGAGCATCCACACTGTATGCATCTGCATGGTTTTCACTTCAGCGAGTCAAGACGGGTCAGCCAACTTGTTCTACGAGGTGACGGTAAACTAGCTGACCAACTGGACCACTTCATCACACTCCGTGGTCCTCCACAACCCACGAAATCAGTTTCCCATCAAAGCCGGGGAGAATCTCGTCGTCGTTGGAAATCTGTAACGACAAAATACATTAGTGTGATGGTTTACCAGCAAGCCATTTGCGCTAAATACGTTTTCCTTAATATCCCCGCCATAAAATCGGAAGTTAAAAATAATTTGTAATACGTTTGATAAAACGAAAGCTAAGTAGGCTTAACTGTTTTTCGAATGATAACTGTAAAAAAACAACAAACATCGACATTTGACTATAATCTCATCAAACAGAAGTGAAGTGTGAGAGATAACCTAGCAAAGAGACTACGCCACTCTCTGTGCCATCGGACCAGCTAACTTGGTGATTGGCTTACCTCCTCTTTCACCATGCCAAATTCGGGATCCATGCTCTTGAAATGGAACCGAAAGTTGCCAGCTCTGTCAAAGATCTGTTTGAAGTCTCGCAGCGTGATTTCGCCGAGCTGTTTCGGAATCGACGATAGAAACGGCGTTAACGTCTTCTCCGTGTAGTAAACGACCTGTGGGACGATAAGGACATAAATTAGGTTCTCCAGTAGTTCAGGCAGAAGCGTTGATGCTGGTCACGTCCCAGCTCCGACAGGTTGTCGATCTGAGGAGATGTGGCGGTCGAGGCCACTGGGATCTGGCGATTACCGTCCGCTGGCAGCGGCCTCTGTGAATAGTCACTCGCCGCTTACGTCGGTGTCGCTCGCATTCAACAACATCGCTGGGAGATGCAAAAAACGTAGACGACAGCACATCAGTACCTCTATGAAGTGAGTAAGAAAGTTCCTTCGATCCAAAGAGCACGGCTTCACTTTTTGTACTCGGTAATGCTATAATTACAGGCATAGATAACATGAATGATGATAACATAATATCATTAATGACTCAAGCTATCGTCATAATCCCAACACTGCAGCGGTTGGAGTTTGGGCTTCAAGAACACCTGCCAGCGCAATGTAACCCACCTTGGTGAAGGAGTGGTGTCCCTGTATGCTGGTGATGGGTGCCCGACGGCTGGGCGCCGGCGTGCCCGTCTGCTGGTCGTGCCTGCCAGCCTCGGCGGCCGCCAGCCGGTCCAGCACCACGGCCAGGCACTGCTCCAGCGTGTCCAGCGTGTGGTGGCTCGGATCAGACTCCCTGCGGCGGCGGTAGGTACTCAGTCAGAGGACACAGAGGCGAGTCGGGAGTCGGGACACAGAGAGCGAGCCGCTACCAATGAAAACTTTGGACTGTGGTGCAGCTTGCAAGAAAAATTAATTTACTGATCTTAATTTATTTACTTTAACCCTATTAGTGGCAGGCTCCTGGCTACCCCATATTAGTGGCAGGGGGGGGGGCTGTTTACGACCCCCCCTTGATATCTCGAGATCTAACGGGCCGATTTTCAAAATTCAAACGGCATTCGATGTGGCTCAACGAGATCTACATTTCTAAAAAAAATTAAAATTAAAAAATGTCAATAGGGGGGTAGAGGGGGGTAAAAACGGGCAAATTGCAGATACATTTTAGACTGTTTATCACGGCCAGGTTTCTGAACCAATCTTAACGCAACTTTTGCCGATCGATAGAGAATGAACCAGGAATTCACATGGATCCTAAAAATATGCATTTTCAAAAATCATAGGCGGATACAGATCATTGAGATTGGGGGTACACAAAAAATATAGTAAACAAGGTTTTTGTTGGTACTGTTTCTAAAAAGGGTGGCAATGGTCTTGTTATGTTACAATTTTCTTATGAAAGAACGACTAAAATTGTATTGGTTATGCATAGGCGGTGTCAGGGCACCTATGTTGGGAGGTAAAAAATAACCCCCCTTTTTGGACGCCTGGATCCGCCTATTATAGCAAAAACGTGTCAAAAGAGGATGCACAATAACTTTGTATATGTTATCACATGATACCTTTCATTCACTGTTCGTAAAACTGGTGCAGCATCGTGATCTTCGCCCAAATGACTCCCTTCACGAATAGGGCCTCCCAATTCCCAGTGCTCTGGAGCCGCCCCTGGTAAAGTTATGAACTTGAAATTTTCAGGGAATGTGCCCAATTTAGTTTTAGGAAAAGTCAGAAAATTTCAGCATCGTAGCTTCAGCGGTTTCGGAGATATTCCCGAAAAACCTGAGGGGTGGATAAAAACAACCCCCCCCCCCCTGCCACTAATAGGGTTAAAAAATTATTTGGAGGTGAGCTATTGTTAGAGATCGTACACACGTCCTTGTTCTTGTATTGTGCATGCCAACATACCCCAGCCTACCATTCGTGGTCAAGCGCACCGCCTGACTGACTCACACACATAACTCACTTCCATCGTCGACTCAATAACAATAATCGACACACATTTTGAATAACACGTGCGCCTTCGGCGCTGGCGCCCTTAACATATATCCCTAACACCCCTCCCCT